CCTTTGTTCCCTCCTGCAGACTAGATCAGGCTGCAGACAGACTCCCCAGTCTTGCCTGGCTATCAGTTTCACCGCCCGTGGCCACAGAGCCCGAGCTCGGCCAAGCCACCATCAAATTAAAGGTGGGAGAATGGGGGCTGGAGGTCGGGTTGCAGGGAACGGAGGGAAATTGTGTCACCTGAATTCCGTCACAGTCCGAAAACACGGTGGTAAAAAAAGGTGGTCTGATGAGGAGAAGAACAAGCTGGAAGGAAAGGAATATCGAAGAGGAGGGTTTCTGCCTCTCGGTGAACAGAGCGGGATCTCAACAAGGCCATTATCTGCCTCCTAATTTGAGCTCTGGCACAGCACTGAAGGGCTGCCTTTGTCTCGGATTAATGCGGAAAGCTCAGGATGCGATGTCAGAGGGAAATAATCAGCATGGGCCCTTCATAACGTTGGCTGCTGCTTGTGCTCCTGGCCACGGCCCCCCGGCTCATTTCTGTAGAGATGAAATCTATGACAAGCCCCTCAGTGAAGCTAAGAGCAGGCAACAGTCCAGAAACACCCACAGGCCTCCAGGCATCCTGTGACCCCCTTAGAAAAGTCACATTCACTTTGCTCTGGAGAAGGGAAAGAGAACGCCGCGGGCGCTTCCAGCCCATGTGAAATGAAGAAATGTGAGGAGGTGAAAACGAAGTGAAAATAAGTTAAGATTCCTCCTCCGCCCCCTCCGCAATCACTCCAGAGGAGGCGGCGCGCTGTGACTTCACTTCATTATGCCTCTCTAATTAAACACAAACAGGACATTAAAACACAGATAGGATAGAGAAGAAGATAATGTATATTCATGTTTATGTTGTGTAACTGCATTTGGGAGAGCAGTTTGAGAAAGCAGCTTCTTTTTAATGCAGCAGAAGGTCGCGGGCTAATACCCATCAGGGTAAAACATTCTGAAAGAGGTTGGCACTGCACTCAAGGACCAGAAGTAATGCTTTTATTTTGTTATTTATGCCTTTTTACCGGGTGCATTACTATGCTCCTCTGCTGCACATTGCTGCTAAGCGAAGGATGTGAAGAAGCAACTCGATAAGCAGGTTATTAAAAGGACCAATTGACATTCAAAATTCAGACTTATTTTAGATTCATCATATTTACAGATGAATATGTGGAATTTGAATGTTTTCTACTCACGCCTCGAGGAAAATGCAACTTGGTACAGAAACTGTGCATGACTACTTCATGTACGACTCAGTGCTGGAGAAATATGATCCTCAAGTCGCTGCTTTTCCTCAAACGGGAGACTTTGTAATAGCACAGCTCAGCTTAATTAGGAACAGACTAGGCAAGTCACATGGGAGTATGTCACCACGCGCCATACACAGATACTTCCTAGCATCTTCATTAACAGACTTCAATTGTGAGTTGGTAACTAGTCAGATTTCCAGACGTTATATTTAACAGGTTAAGCACGAAGGTGATGTGTGGTTTTAGGAACACAATGACTCTCAACATTAAAGATTTTAGGGAAGAGAGGCTGACATTTGCTCATCTTCAACCCCTTTTAAGATGATTAAACATGACAACAATAGTTTATAAGGTTGCACACTTTGCCGCCAACCCATCAGTGATCTTCACATCTGATCTGTCGCAGCTAAATATAAACACAGACGCATAAATATGTAATACAATGAAAGCATCTGCCTCATCTCATCTGAGGTGCTGTAATACATTTAAATGCTTGCTCATGTGGACGGTGAAATGTTTTAATGCATGATGATAGTAACCCAATGACCATCCGTTCACCCCATCACACGCTGTGGCTTATTATCCTTGTAATTCCACCTCATTGACTTTTACCCACTATTTTATTCCATTTTATGTCTATGCCGATCTGTCATGTTGCTTCTCCTATACTCAATGTACAGATGCCTATAACTGATAATGTACTGCTCCTCTATGCTAACTCTGATAATTACACATTTCTGTATTTTAATAAGAAGTTTATAACCTGTAGTTTATGCAGATTTGAGAGTAAGAGAGGCTAAGACGTAGTCAGTAGAGATGGATGATTTGATATGCCATCGCTTCGATCAACACAATCTAACCCAGTTCTGACTCTTCAAATCTACTGATTTTCTATAGAAAAGTACACAAAAAAAACGTTGTAATTGTCTTCCTTTGAAACTGTAAAAAATGTCCACATGGGGGACGACATGTTTACGGTCTAGTAAGTGTGCTACACTTCTTCTCTGTTTTTTATTTGCAGATTGTTGGGATGGCAGTGGCTGGTTTAAAGGGGTCCTTTAAAATGGTGACATCACTATGGAACATTAGCGCTTCGATAGGCTAGCGATCCGCAACATTGTACGTGATAGGCTAAGGGGCGGGACATCTCTAAGCGGTTGACCAATCACAACAGAGCCGGCCAGCTAACCAATCAGAGCAGACTGGGCTCTGGTTTCAGACAGAGGGTGAAAAGAGGTGCTGCAGCACAGGCAGTATGAGAAAAATAAAGATCTTTTTGAACGTTAAAGCATGGAGACATGTCACAGTAGAGACACTACATACTGATATACACCTGAACATCAGCATCATATGGCCCCTTCAACATAACATAGACCCTAGAGTAGAGGCTGTGTTTGTTAAATCAACAAAAACCTGTCTCTATATTATCAGTAAACATGAGAGCCAACAACATGTCAAACTGTCAATTTTTCGACATGACATCTGAATAGCCAGCCAAAGAGAAAACCTTTGGAGAGGTTAAGGTCAAACCCCCTCAGGGAGGTTTATTTGTATTTCCACTCTCCATGTCTTCTTATGTATTCTGACATCCTGACTTCATTTCACATACGTTACATAACATGAAAGAATTAGGCACCTAAATTGTGTTTTCACCTCAATATTTTAAGCCTGTTTTTTTTACCTGCTCTATAAAAACGTTAACAGGCAAACTAATATATTTCTGGGTGGATTTCACTTGTGGAAAATAATTTAAATAGAAGCCAATTGGTAGTCCACCAAAAGAGCCACATGTTATTCTAACAGGAGTTGGAGAAGATAAATTGTGTATTGTAATATAATAAGTAACAGTATATTTTTTCATTTAATTCATACATCTAAGAGGATTCTGTATTTATTAATGTGTATAATATCTGAACCAATAATCTCTGCATTCAGCTCAGAGCTTGAGATGTAAAGATGGGCGTTAAAGAATAACTTTTAACACTTGCTTGGTTATTAAAATGCACATGATGACTGTAATAAGCTTGTTTCAAAATCTGGGGGAAATAATTGAGATGTTTTGCTGAACCTTAAAGAATTCATGACGATAGCTAATGGGTTGATAAATAAAACAGGCAACATGGTAGAGAAGGTAAACAATGGTCTAAAGCAGGGGTGCCCAATACGTCGATCAAAACATTTTTTTTTTTTTAAAGTTAGCCTATCCATCCATCCTTACTATGGCATTTGCCACTTGATTGACGTACAGGTAAGCCAGTCTGAGTTGTATTGTGCCATACGGGTTCATGCAGTTATGAGGGGGCCTCACATCCTCATCTGAAGCGCCACAATTTATCCGCCGTTTAGTCCACTAGGACCATCCCCCCTCCGCCCGCTCACGACACAGATTGGGCAGGGGCGGCCCTGTAGTTAGATCATTTGGGCTTGGTCATTTTAAAAGTAGCTCCCAAGCTGAAAAGGTGTGGGCACCCCTGGTCTAAAGGATGCTATCAGGGAACAAATGGGGGTTGGAATGAACACAAAGCAGACTGTCTGTATATTTGACAGCCAGAAAACCTAACTGCAACACCACAGTCTATTGTAGATTATTGATTATTTGTGTCCTAGGTGCGAAGTCGGTCAATGCACTTATGTTAATAATGTCAGGAAGTCTTTGTCTCCCAGAAACCTTGACCTTCAGACATGTGAAGAGGATTCTGTGCAAAGCAAATGATGTGCAAAATAAAGTCGACACAAGACAACACAGATATCAGATTCAGGAGAATGCATTCAAAAACACAAAAAGCCTCATGCTTAGGCGTAACAACCTTATACCTTCCAGTAGTTGGGTTTTAATACGGCTGCTGTACCTGCAGTGATGGATTTCTTATTCACTATCTTAGAGATGGATACTCAGTGACTCATTTTTTTTTTGCATATCTAGCAACCCTCCATTTTTGAACTTACTACAGTTAGGGGTGACATGGCCATGAAAATTACCATTGAAAGCTGTCCACAAAAAACAAGTTCGCTGAAAGAAAATCTAAACTGATAAATACGTTATGTAAGATTATTTTTTTAGCAGAAAGGCCAGTTGGTGGGATGTGTTTATTGTTATAGTATCAGCAGAACGCTGGTTAGAGGGATGAGTCAAAGTCAGATGAAGAGAGTTAGGCCAATATGTCATCCTCACAAATGCAAAGAATAAAAAGAAAGACTTCTGCAAAAGTTAATGGTGAAAATAAAACTTGATTTTGCCAGAAATACATAGCCGTAAAGGTCACTGCAAAATCCTCTTCTTCATGTCTCTTCTACATCAACATGTGTCCCCTCTGTGTAAAGAGACTCTGAAAGTTTCAGGAAAAAAGATTCTCTCACTTTTTGTCCTGATCCATTTATATAAAAACCTGTCTGAAAATGAGCTGATCAGATTTTGGCCACTTTATGATGTCATAACGATGTGTTGTCTTGTGTAACCATTAGCCAATCACCAACCAAGGTAACCCCCCCCCCCCACCTTATCACCTGAATCTCCTCCTAGAGCACCATTGTGTTCTTTTTAACCAAATATCTCTCAGAGGGGCGTGGGGAGGGGCTCCTTATTTTTATCTAAAGTAACAGACAGAGAATCAGCACTTTTGAAACAGGGCTGAAACAGAGGGGATTATGGGATGCTGCAATGATCTGTTTGGTGTTTCAGCCAATCAGAGACATGTTCTGTATATATCTGAGACCTGTAATATATTGATGAAAAACAGTATAATAGGGGACCTTTAAGTGAGTGCAGTTCTTACCTCGGTCCCTGATGGTGTGGCCCCCGGTGAATCCATTTTACGTTTTTTTCGGGGTCCGATGGCGGCTAGTGCTGTAAGGTTAGCCTCTCGCTGCCTCACCTGTGCCAGTTCCTGCTGTTGCATCTGGTGAAGACAAGGCGAATGTTAGAAAATAATGATATCAACTTCACTACATGTAGGGTTGTCGTGTTGCACCAGTATCACCTTATGCACCAGTGACCCCAACGCTAAACCCAAAAATGTTATAATTCGAAACTAGAAGTGAATTTTACACCAATATCTAAAACCCTTGATTATTATACAAATCTTTAATTTGTCCTCTATGTGGTGGCTTTAAAGATTACAATGCCAAAGTCTGCAGATACCAAAAATTCACACCAAAGTCTATAAAAGTGCACTCAGTAGGGTGCACATTTCCACCAGGTGTGTCTTCTTCACCACTCCCAAACTAAAAAGGGGTTGAATCTCACTCAGTTGTCACTTCACAGTCAAGATTGCGCTGAAAATAACAAAAACTGGAATTTAGTTTTCTCGTATCCTGCCCTCCCATTAGTGGATCATTTCATATATGGAATTAATCTGAGATACTCGGGTTGAAATGAGACCATTACAACAGGACTGTTTTTTAGCCTTTTGCTACTGAAGCAGTTGATGATCATTTGCAGCCCTTTTCAAAAGCCAATAATGACATAAAACAGTCAATGTAAAAAGTTACATTTTCATAATTGTGAATCTCTGCAACCACACATCTCCTTGAGCATACAATCAGAAATGAGCACAAAATATATTAGGCTGAGGTGACCAGTAGTTTTCAAGATTAGCTGCAGAGAAAGACACTGATGAAAACGTCCAAATGCCCGCTGGAGATAATAACTGTTGGCGATACAAAACTGCCCTGAACTCACTTTTTGTACTTGATGGTCCAAACCTCAGAAACAATACTTTCTTCCTCTGTCTATAGAAAGCCAGACAAGTGACCCTAAATATCAACAATTTCTGCTTTTAAGAGAATTTGCCACCTTAGCTGTCACGTTTAAGAGCGCCACAAGACCTGGTGAAAATGAGACAGCAATGAAGAGTATGTAGAAGTTAAAATGTAGACAGCTATAACAGAGAACATATCCCTCTTTTCAGCCCCTATCTGTCCATCCATGTATTGTATAAGCTCTCTAAGCCAAACAAAATGGAAGCCTGTTGTCAGCCATTAACAGAGCTCCTGTCAAAGATCGTTTGTGTGTGTGTGTGTGTGTGTGTGTGTGTGTGTGTGTGTGTGTGTGTGTGTGTAGTCACATGGTCCCTTTGTGATTTTTGCAGTTTGTGATATATAAGGGGGAGGTTGTGTGGAGGCACCGCCCGAGGTAATGTCATGTCTAGCCGCGGGGCTGAGGGGGAGCCCAGCGTCGCTAGGAGCTGCCCTTTCTATTGGGTGGATGTGTGAGGGCCTGGGGCCATGGCACACAGGGTGTCCACACACACACACACACACACACACACACACACACACACACACACACACACACACACACACACACACACACACACACACACACACACACACACACACACACACACACACACACACACACACACACACACACACACACACACACACACACACACACACACACACACACACACACACACACACACACACACACACACACACACACACACACGTGCCTATCAATCGTGGCCACAGCAGAGGGAATGCCTACCCACCAGCTTGCCTGCGTGTTGCCTCCTGGGTTGAAGCGAACAGGGACAATCAATGCTCGCTTTCATGTCTTTCATGTTCTTTTATGTTATCTCTCAGCATGTGCACCGGGCGCTCATGTTTGTGTGAGGCACGTATGTTGTCTGATCGGGAGAAAATTCCATGTTACTTTCAGATGGCGTCCTGTAAAAGGTTGCTTTGGTGTATAAAGCCTGATCTAAAATGTGCATGCAGTTGCCTCTGATTTTTTCCCCCGAAAAAAACCCCAGGCAAGGCATGCCCTTTAGGGTGTTGCCACTTCACATTTAGCACGGCGGAAATGTTGAAAGATTCAAACACGCTGACAACACAAAGTAGGGGGAATAATAGCAGCAGTGCCAACCGGCTGAATATCTAAACCCCGTTTTTGTGTGTTTTAAAATGGATGGCGGTACACAATGTAGTTCAAACAAATACTAATTAGTGGTAATGTAAATGGAGACAGATGTTATAGTGGAGAAACAAACTGGGGATGGTAGCTGGATGTTGCTAACAGAGTGAAGATGCCACTGTCCACATGGCAAATGTAGCATTAACGTTATCAATGCTAACCCTATTAGGCTTTGCCACAAACAAGACACAAACCTCTCCAGGCTTGACCTTAAAGAATCCCTCGCAGAGAGAGAGAGAGAGAGAGGGAGAAACAGAGCGGGAGTCGGCTCTCTCTCTGATGGCACCAGGATGCCGGCATCTCTGCCTGGCAGTTGGCACCAACATGGTCTTCGAGCGCCAGAAGCAACTGCCTGCATTTTCAGATTTATGACTGTATGATAAATGAAGACTTCATTTTACCATCTGCAACCCTCCAGTCTGCGTTTCCCGTCAGTAAAACGGCCGCCATGACACTGGGAGACTGATTTCTGATTTCAATCTGGTGCCACTACGCCGAGTCTACCTTCCTTTAATGACTGCCAACTGATACAAGCCAGATTTGGCGCAGGCTTTGATAGATTTGTTTCTTCCCCGAGGAGTTGTTCCAACCACCGTTTAATTCAAACATTTACATAAAAGTATGCTCGTCTAGACACACACAGGTGTACCAAATATGCCAGAAAGTAGTGGCAGTGGCAATGAAGGAATGTGGATACATGTTGCCTTCAAAACTGTTTCAGTCCTTTTCTTGTCCTCACTGATTGCACCAAGATGCACCAGCTGTACAGGATTTGTCAAGATTTAGACATAAGGGGTTACTCACTATTCAATCTATTTATATTGAATGGTGTTAAAAGGGACAGTTCATGACAAAATCCAAAAATACCCAATTGTTCCACCGACTGGTAGTAAAATAGATGTTTTTACTAGATGTGTGTTTGCCATAGAGATGTCTGTCTATTCTGCAATATAATGTCTCTAGATGGTTGTGTCTACTTGATATGTTTGTGATGTGTGATGTTCTTTTGTCTGTTCCTTTTGGGACTCTTCGTCGTCTGTGATTTGTTTGTATGATAACCTTTCAAATCTGGCACATGTTTTTATTGTATTCATGTTTCTGTGGTCTTATTTTTTTACTTTATTTGTTTCTTGTGAAGCACATTGTGAATGTTATTTCTGTTAAAGGTGCTATACTAAATAAACATATGATTATTATTATTATTATTATTACTCGGTTTGCGTTGCTCAAAGCACCAAATAAGTATGTCTGAAAAACTCTAAAGCAGTGCCTTTTTCAAGAAACCATGACTTAGTTAGTCAAGATAATCAACAGACTTTGTTGTCATTAGGGACTATTTTCTTTCTATCGAACTACACCCGTCAAACCATATCACACCTGCCAGGTCAAGATTTCTGGGAAGAGACATTGCTGTTGAGTTTTCAAATGTTCTTGAAGATTTTAGCATCTTAAGATGAACGTTATGTAGCGCCATTGTATTGAAGACATCTCTATGGCCAGTATCCAACAATCGGCCACTCACACCACATCAGTCGATCGGTAAACAGCACTACACGTAAAAGGAATGTGTTTTTTTTTTTATTGCAAACATCTTCTATAAAGCAACTCTCCATTGAAGAATGTCATCGAACTCTGTAAGCCAGTTTCTATGTCCCACTGCAAATGGAACTTCATTATTTTAAAAATGATTGTATCTTAAAATGATTTTGTTATGTCGTAATTTCAGAAGGAATTGCAATCTGCGAACTACAATTTCAAGAATCTCTCTCTACCTTCTAGGTTAATATGTTGGCAATGTACCGTAAGTCACAATCAACACTGAAAACTGCAAAGGTCACTATACACAGATTCATCCCAGAGTGGAGGAATAACCGTCTGGCAGAGTGAATACATTTGCCAGGTTCGATCAATGGTACCGAATAAATATCTGCTGTTCTAAAGTCACCTAAATACCAGTGCTTCCAGTCCGCCTGTCTGCCCTTTCAAAGCTGGGAACTCCAACTTGTAAAGTCAAATTATTAGCAAAGGTCAGGAGATGTAGAACATTTTCAAGATGCCCGACATAATCAATCTGCAGCTCTGTTAGAAAGACGTTCAGTCCTGATGCAAACATGTCGCCTGATGATGGGGAAACTGGAAATATGAACATTTCGGAGGAAACACTTGTCGCAGTTTGAACAGAGCGCTGTGATACGAGTGAGTATCAGTTAACACTTTGATGGTGTGCAAACACTGAATGTTAATCTGATATTAATCACATCAGGGTCTGTTTTCATCATGGCTCTCAGAATTACCCCTAATCTGCACTGGAAATATGATTACAGCTAAAAATACTCTGTTGGATTAAGTTTCTACACAATGAATGGTATGTTTGAAGAAAACGTATATTAAATTCCCTGAAACACACTGAAAAACTACAATATCTGGAGCGATGAATAAGAACCACATTGGGTTAATATGCTTGAAAGAACTAGACCTTCGATACCAGATTACATGTATTCATCTAATAGCTTGTGTCATGGAGTTATGTCCCAGAAGATTCTTCCAAGTTCATATTAAAATAAGAGTAAGACCTCTTGTTTGAGAGCATTGTGTGTCAACATATATCAACAGTGTAGATGGCTGGTATGCACGTTTCTTTATATGTTGCTAACAAACTAAAAGGTGGTGTCACTGGTCATGTTTTAGTTTTAGTGGTATTTATATAATAACAAAATCAATTAACCAGGAAAATAAGAACACAAGCATGAGAATGAAGTGACTAAAAATGAGTGTAACTTTAACATTTATGCCTTTAACATATTGGCTAGAAACGTCCGTCAAATCCCAAGTGAGAAATAACAGAGCGTGTTCTCAGAAGAAAGACACGCATGTTCCCTTATGATGCAAAAATGTCCAAAAGACGGCAAGACCTCAGAGCGGTTTTGATACGCTCCGAGTGAAAAGAAGCTGCAGGAGCCATGATGGCCAACCTGCCGC